AAAATTAAGGGAAGAAAATGTCATTACCAATTACTGACAGTTAAAAAAAGAAAAGTCAAAATACAGTCTAGTGAGGAAAATAATACACTGACTTCATTTTACTCAGAGACAATGGACACAAGGCAATTTCCAGTTTTCTCTGACATCATTATCAGTAAGAGTAACTGGCATCTATTCAATGTTTACCACACTTCAAGAACTGCATTTAGAGCTGGAAGGGATGTCAAAAGATTATCATGGAACTCATATGTTGCTGGTGAGAGTGTAAAATGGTGCAGCCACTTGGAAAACAGATCCTCAAAAAGTTAAACATAGACTTATTATAAGACCCAGCAATTGCATACCTACGTGTATAACCAAAAAACCTGAAAACAAATGTCCACACAAAAATTTTTACACAAATGTTCAAAGCAGCATTACTCACAATAGCGTCACACGCAGAATGGAAACAATCCAAATGTCTATCCGCTGGTGAATGGATAAACAAAATGTGGTATACTATACAATGGAACATTAATATTCAACTATAATAAGGAATGAAGCACTGAAATGGTCTATAACATGGATGAACCTTGAAATTCACTATGCTAAATGAAAGAAGACAGACATGAATCATACATATTTATATGAAATGTCTAGAACAGGCAAATCCATAGAGACAGAAAATACACTGATGGTTGCCAGGGCCTGGCAGGAGGGAAGAATGGGGTGTGACTGCTCAATGGGTACTTTTAAATGTTTTAAAAATAGGTAATAGTGATTGATGGTTGTGCAAATCTGTAAATACACTAACAACTACTGACTGTGTGCTTAAAAAGGCTGAGTTTTATAATACGTGAATTTTATCTCAGTAAAGAGGTTACTGGATTTGATCTATCTTGAGTAATCAACCACAACTACTTTCTTAAAGATTTCTAAGAATGGAATCTACAGACTTCTGCAGAAGGTCACTCCAGTATCATATGCCCTGAGAATGCTCCTTTTTATAACTTTTCTAAAAAAGTAGATGTTGCCTTCTTTCCTAGGGGGTAATTCTCTTGGTTAGCGAAATAGAGAGGGAAGAGGCTCAGATCCTGGAGTCTTTGCTGCAAAAGTCCCAGAACAATAATAATCTGAATTAACTGACAATTTGAAACTCTCAAATTTCCAATCTTATCTTCTGAAAAAACATTCAATAAAATTTTTAAATTCACCCTTAGTTTCACTGAACTACAACAGCTGTTTTCATTTGTTCATTTCCTTCTAGCTGCCCACATGTAATTCATCTTATACACAGCTATAATCAGTGTATATATAATTTTGTATTCTTTTTCTCATTATACTGTAAACATGCTATGTTGTTAATATAGTTTTTTATAATAATCATTTTCAGTGTTGCAATAATATGCCTGATGTACTATTATTTCCCTAACTTTTCCCCTAATGTTGATCTTAAAGTCTTCTTTCCCCAATTTTTCTGTGTGTAGACAAGTTTTACATAGAGTTTTATATTTCCCTTCTTTTGAATTGTTTCCTTAGGCTGCTTTTCAACAGTAGAGCTTCTGGGTCATACAGTAGGAACATTTTTATGGCTCTTGCTTTCTAAACTAGTATGAGGCTTTCAATATTATTTTGTACTATGGAGTGTGTGTGTCTGTGGGTGTAGATATAGATAGGATAACAGACCTGAACTGGTACTGAAGGCTCTACTATTGAATTTAGTTTTTCAAATTGGGTCATCTTTACTTTTTATTATGAAAATAGTAAATTTATAAAGTATACAAATTGAAAGTGAAATGTTTCCATATCCTTTTGGAGGATTAACTATAACACATCACCTTGTAAATTTGAGTTTGCCTAAGTGTGACAATTAAGAAAACAATTGCTTCTTGGAGGGAAACCTTGAAGGGAAAACTTCTTGGAGACAAACCTAGACAATGTATTAAAAAGCAAAGATATTACTTTGCCAACAAAGGTCCATCTAGTCAAAGCTAAGGTCTTTCCAGTAGTCATGTACAGATATGAGAGCTGGACCATAAAAAAAGCAGAGTGCTGAAGAATTGATGCTTTTGAACTGTGGTGTTGGAGAAGACTCTTGAGAGTCCCTTGGACTGCAAGGAGAACCAACCAGTTAATGCTAAAGGAAATCAACATTAAATATTATATTGGAAGGACTGATGCTGAAGCTCCAATACTTTGACCACCTGATGCGAAGAGACAACTCGTTAGAAAAGACCCTGATGCTGGGAAAGATTGAGGGCATGAGGAGAAGGCAGCGACAGAGGATGAGATAGTTGAATGGCATCATCAATTCAATGGACATGAACTTGAGCAAACTCTGGGAGATGATGAGGGACAGGGGGGCCTAGAATGCTGTTTCCATGGGGTTGCAAAGAATGGGACATGACTTGGCAACTGAACAAAAACAAAAAGTGTGAAATGTGATTTAATGATCAAAGGCTCCACAGTGGTCCACATACAGACCCTAGGGGCTGACAAAAGTTCACGTGAGCTCTACGAAAGGAGAGAATTTCTGAGCAGAGCGCTATGGGGGATGAGCCCTAGTGAAACAAGGAGAAGAGCGAGTGCATTCCACCAGGAAAAAGGCAGAAGCATGGTGCATTTCTGAAAGTAATAAGATGAAAGGAGAATCTAAGACAATCCCAGTATCATCTGGACAGAGTAACTTGGCAGAAACACAGGGACTCATTTCATACAAATAATCAACAATCTCTAAGGCAAACTGAATACCTAAAAGTATAAAAATAAGATTAGTGGAAAATAAAGACTTAACACAGGCTCATGTCACCAGTAGAGAATAAGAAAACAAATGTATTATAAAGAAAAAATAAATTTGTCTCCTGCTTATACTATAAAGCTCAAAGATGATTATCTGTTGGTCTAACTAGAAGGTCATTTCTTGACTATAAGACTATAGAACTTTAGAGGTTTTTAACTTACAAATACATCCCTCAATTTTGCATTTTCTATGCTCAGCTAGCTTTGATGGAAATTGTTTTTAAGCCCCAAATCAGGTTGTTTATAACTCACACTTTCCTAATCATTTCTATAACTCATCTAGAGTGTGCTTATTCAGATACAGAAAACAAACATAGTTACCAAAGGGTAAAGGGGGTGGGGGTGGGATAAGTTAGGAGTTTGGGGTTAGATAGACAACTACTATATATAAAACAGATAAACAAGGTCCTATTGTATAGCACAGGGAACTACATTCAGTATCTTGTAATAAACCACAATGAAAAAGAATATGTATATATATGTATAATTGAATCACTTTGCTGTACACCAGAAACTAACACAACATTGTAAATCAACTACTGTTGATGTTGAATCACTAAGTCTTTGCAACCCTATGGCCTGTAATGTAGCCCACCAGGCTCTCCGTCCATGGGATTTCCCAGACAAGAATACTGGAGTGGGCTGCCATTTCCTTCTCCAAGGGATCTTCCTGACACAGGGATTGAACCCATGTCTCTTGCATTGGCAGGCGGGTTCTTTACCACGGAGTCACCAGGAAAGACCAACTATAATTCAATTTTAAAAAGCACAAATATTGTGCTTATATCCTATCTTTACAATTTAAGTCTGTACTAGTTTGTAGACTGCTTGGTAAGGGCTCTGAACTATCTGTGGATAAATTCTTTATCCTTAATAGGAACATCAAGTCTAGGGAGCATATTCTTTTCATTCTTATTCAGCCATACAATGAATACTAAACTACAGCTAGATAATCACAGAACCCCACTTAATTCTGTGATGGAAATGGATGGAAATTTGCAACATAATGACTTCACACTTGGATTATTAATACCACCAGCCATACTGGAGATGACCATTCTCTTCAGTAAAAAGTTTTCCAAACATAAAAGACCTTAGCACTTAAAATATTGCCTACCCTAGTGACATCTCACCCCATCCCCATTCTACTAAACTTTATGCTGCAGAGACACCCAAGTAGCATTGTTTCTGGAACACACCATGCTTCTTCACATCTCAAGGCCTTTGTATATGCTCTTCCTTTGTTTGGCTTCCCAGGTGGTGCTAGTGGTAAAGAACCCATCTGTCAATGCAGGAGACATAAGAGACATGAGTGTGAGTTCAATCCCTGGATTGAGAGGATCCCCTGGAGGAGGAAATGGCAACCCACTCCAGTCTTCTTGCCTGGAGAATCCCATGGACAGGGGAGCCTGGCAGGCTACAGCCCATGAGGTGGCAAAGAGTCCAACACAATTGAAGTGACTCAGCATGCATACACCTTTCATCCACCTGAGCATCTGCTGGGTCTTTCTATCCCTTATAACTCACTTAAAAGTCACCTCCTGCAAGATCTGCCAAGTCCACCCTAAGAATTCTATGATGCTTTCTTCTGTGCTATTTCTGTATCTGTAATAAAATTATACTGTTGCACTGAATAGAATTTACTGAAAAAAGATAAAACAAATCTCTTTGCATGCATTTACTCCATTAGACATAATTTCAGACTCAATAAAAATTTATCCAGAAAAGGAACGGGAGGAAAGAATGGAGAAATGGAAGGAGGGAAACCCAGAGAAGCTTCTGGATCTCTGCTGTGCAGGAACCATGTCTTATTCATCTCCATATCTCCATGGGGCTGGGCATTACTTAGGACATACAGGGCTTCATTCAATGTTTGATTAATTAATTTAACATAAATCTTAAAGGAAAAAACAATGAATCACCTTGGCAAGAAAGTCTTACCAAAGGAAGAACTTCCATTAATTCAAACAAGGTATTATTCAGGCCAAATCAATTGTGGAGCACAAAAGCCCACTGGGGGCCCAGCCTGAGATACTATGGAATCTTAGTGCCAAGAACAAAGCGAGACGCTCAAAGGCATGAGACATGATTCTTTCCCTGAAAGGGCCCATAGTTTAGATGGGGAATTAAGTTCATGAAAAGATAATTACCACATAACATAATAAGAATCATATCTAGGACATATTCAGAGTACCATGGTACAAAGAAGAGATGTATACTACCTATATGGAGGTAATGGTGGGGCAGGCATGACTCAGGAAAGACTTCCTGGAGGAGATGGTCCCAGGCTCAATCCTACACAATCCTGACATGTCTTAACATGTTTGGGTGGGTTGGTCCATGAAGGGGGTTACTTGCTCCACGGTTCATTTTCCTAGGAATGAACTCCTCGGGAGAGAAAGTGAGTCCTAGAACATAAGGTAGGGTAAGATCAATGGGTTAGTGCTGGTGAGGCAGGCAATACTGTCTCAAATTGAGCCAGACAAAGAACGAAAAAGAAGAAATAGGGGACTTCTCCATGTGGTCTAGAGGCTAAGACTCTGAGCTCCCAATGCAGAAGGTCTGTGTTTGATCCCTGGTCAGGAAGTAGATCCTACATGCTGCAAATAAGAATTAGCATGCTACAAATAAATGCTTGCATGTTGCAACTAAGATCCGGCACAGCCAAAGAAATAATATTAGAGAAGATCTAGGCCCCAGAGGACGCTGTGCATCAGAGTATGGGGTGGCAGAATATTTTTACTATTGTAGCCAGAGGGTAAAAGGAAGAAAGTGGGTGTGGGAGGTGGTGGCAGAAAGAAAAACATTCATGGAACACAAGCTGGGGGAAATGGCTATACACAAAGTAGCCTAAAGAACTTTATTCCAGAGCAGATTTGAACTGTCCCTGGGGACTCTCTGAACTAGTTGGGAAAGAATCTGAAGGAAGCCGCAGTTTCCACATTGGGAGGCTAATGCACAGCCAAAGAAATATTTACTTGCTGCTGTTTTGGGCACATTATTATTATTATTTTAAATACCAGGATGCTTTGCCCTATGTTGCATAAGAAAAGCATGAGACATGATTCCAGCCCGCAAGGAGGTTACAATTGTGTTGAGAAAGCAATTATGTGTGTTAGTTTTTAAGTGCTATAGAAACACACTCAGGATGGGAAAATTGTGAAAGACTTCCCAGAAAAGGAGGGAATGAAACCAGAATACAAAGATAACGATACTGGACCAAGTCCTGAAGATAGTTACAGAAAATATATGTGTAAAAAAATGTGAAGTAAAATAAGGCAGCATAAACAAGCTTAAGAAATTTTTTTTTAAATAAGCATTTTTTTAATATTCTGAGTGCCCTTGCAGATGGTAGGAAAGTGGGAACCCAGGGAATATAGACTCAGGTGTAAGAGTGGTTGCCAAATTTTGGGTAGAAAATCTCAGGAGTAAAAACACAGTCTGGAGAAAAACCAGGTCCTCAGGGTTGGGTGGTAGGTAAAAAGCTGATCTAAAGTGAAGGAGCTACAAGAATCTGATGGACAAGTAGGTCAGGGAAGGTGTATGGAAGCATTTCCTGACTCAGGAGTACTTACAGAGAACTTCCCATGGAATCCTCAAGCAAGAGGTAAGCTGTTATCTGTTGGTCCCCAGACTCCAACTAGGGCACCCGAACCCGATCACCTGTGCTGCCTGGTCTTGGCACCAGGAACTGTCTAGAGATGGCGAGACAGAAGGCTTCTGATTCTCTCTTCAGATATCTGAGAAGGAAGGGTGAGCTTCTTTTCTTTTCTTCTTTTAATTCAGCTTTTCTTCTTTTAAAAATAATTTTATTTATTTACTTATGGCTGTGCTGGGTCTCCACTGCTGTGGGCTTTTCTTGGGCTTTTCTCTAGTGTTGGTGAACAGGGGCTGCTCTCTATTTGCGGTGCGTGGACTTCTCATCGCAGAGGCTTCCCTTGTTATGGAACACGGGCTCTAGGGCACAAGGGCTTCAGTAGCTGTGGCTCCTGGGCTCTGGAGCACAGGTTCAATAGTTGTGGCACACAGGTGTAGCTGCATATGGGATATTCCCAGATCAGAGATGGAACCCGTGCTTCCTACATCAGCAGGTGGATTCTTTACCACTGGGCCACCAGGGAAGCCCTTGGATGAGCTTCTAATTGCTAGAGATGAGGCCTATTAGATGTGGGCGTAACTAAAAGTTTGATTCTGCCTCTACTGTCAAGGATCAAATTAGGGAAGTCACTAAGAAGTGCAGGCAAGCCTGGCACAAAAGGTACAATGCAGGAGTCTGTCCTCAGCTCCTCGGCTCTCCAGCTACCATCACGCCGGAAGGTCAAGAGTGTGGTCTTACTGTCCACCCCAGGTTAGAGGACATTGCACAAGGGTATTAAGACCTCGCATTTGTCTTCTGATCTGCCCTTAAAATCTAAGAATTCTGAAGGGGAAACTAAGGAATAATTAACCCATTCCAGAGAAAAAAGAAAAGACAGGCATAGCAAGTCTATAACATCTGTAGCACCCAATGACCTCCTTGATCCAAAGATAAGGATTTACGACTAAGGTTCCATTCATGATTACACTTGGTAGGGTATGAACCATATAGAACTATTGTTCTATTACTGGAAGACTGTAGTTGTACTTAGCATATGGGTATTCTGGGAGCATGTACTATTTTTGGATTATATATTTCCCCCCTCTATCCTCTGGTTTTATTGTTTGTTGTTTGCTTTTGTTTATTTGTTGTGATGTTTCATAAACTGATATATCTGAAAAACTGCAAAGCCACTATTAAAATGTCATTACTTAAATAAATAAAATTTAAGAATTTTGAAATTGAAACAAAAAAAAGAATTTGAAACTGAAAAAAGGTGAAGGTTTCCAATGTTCCCTTTTACATTGTTTTAGCTAATGATATACTTTGAAAAATATATGTATTCTCTCCCTTAACTGTATAATGAAATCTTGTTTTTGGCTCTCTGTTTCACTATTTTGTTGTTTTTTTTGCTTAGTAACAGCATTCTCATCAATTTTTCTTTCTTTTTTTAATTGAAAAACAATACGTGCTCATTTCAAAAGCCAAAAAAATATAAAAGTCAAAGATTAAAAATCACAGTTTTGTAGTAATCATTTAACTTTTTAAATGTGGAGTACAGTTGATTTACAATGTTGCGCTAATCTAATTTTGAAGTATTTCCTTTCAGTCTTTTTTTCTGAGAAGTTATTCTTGTCTTCTTTTTGAAAACATTATTGTACTTTACTTCTATTTGAGCTTCTGAATCTTGTAAACAGCGCCTGAGGGAGACAGTTTCCAGATGAACCGTTTGTGCCAATTACACAATTTTGTCCCAGAGGAATAACAACTCATAAAGAAAATGCTTTTAAGTTGAGTCCAGATAGCACACAATGCACATTCCCGCACAGCGTCATCAGCGTGCTCAGTTCTATCACAGTGATTTTGGGAAGATGAGTGTTCAACCAAGAACTTCTGATGGCCTTCTGTTTACTGGTAGTCCTTTCGGAAGTATGCCAGGACTTTCATAACATATATTCTGTTCTTAAGTTCTTCATTTTGATTTGTTTTTCAGTCAACTAAATGTTTTGCTTTGTTTTTCAAGAAGGTTACGTAAACTGTTGGCACAGTTTTGAACCCTGGCATACATGACTATCTGTTACTCTCATGAATGAAACGAAGTGCAGCTGGATACAAGACTCCCTGGTCACAGCCTTCCCCTGAAAACTCTGGCTCACCTTCTGACATCTGATGTCATCCACAGCTACCATCTCTCCCACAGTTTTCAAACCCTTTCACTTCTCCCTCTGAGTTCCCAAGACACTGTCAAATGTGTTTTCCACATTCATTGCTTCACCTCAATGTAAATCCTACTTTTTTCACCATCTCCAAATTTGTATTTTAATTTTGCTACTGTATGGTGTTTACGTACATCTATCCAACTTTTTGTCCTGTTTTCATCTCAACCTATTTGTTCCTTTTGCTTTTATGCTTCAGTTCCACAGGAGCCTTGTCTTCTTACATCAACAAAAGATACAGAAAAGTTTTTAAATTTCTTATAATTCTTATAAAAAAAAATTTTCAGTTGCTCTTCCTTTAAATCTTCATGACAATACTCCCTTTCCCTTGTTCTAAAAGTTTTCTAAGTCCCATATTATTATGTGACCTCTCATTTGAGGATGAGAAAGATACCTAGGCCTGGTGTTTGACAACAAACAATGTGTGGACTGACACTGGTCCCATTCTGTCAGTCTACGTGCCGGTGGATTCCCCTGCTCCAGTCTACAGCTGTATGGTTGACGAGCACAGCTTCTTGTCTAATTCCTGGTGTCTAACAGGTTTCCATCTGCTAAACTTAGATAAGATCCAACTACTAGGTTTATTGTCATGCAGAAATGATAGAATTAAAAAAAAAGACTACTACAATCTCCAGTGTATTACTTAAGATGCTTTTGACTATGAGTAACAGAGAATCCATCTCTAGTTGGTTTTGACAGAAATAAAATTTATGGGCTCAAATAACTGGGAAGTTCTGTACTATGGTGGGCATCTGGCATTTAAAAAAATTTTTTTATTATGGAAAACTTCAAATCTGTACAAAGTTCACAAAGTGGTAAAATGAACCCCTATGTACTCATCACCCAACTTCAATACTTTAAGATTCTGCCATTCTTATATCATGGATGCTTCCACCTTCTCCCTACCCCTATGTGATTGTTATTTTGGTAATGGAAGTTCTCAGGTAACATTTACATAAACAAATCAGGGAAGTCCTATGTTAAACTTTCTAAAGTGAAGTCACTCAGACATGTCTGACTCTTTGAGACCCCATGGACTATAGCCTACCAGGCTCCTCGGTCCATGGGATTTTCCAGGCAAGAGTACTGGAGTGGGTTGCCATTTCCTTCTCCAATTAACTTTCTAAGAAATCGCCAATAAATTTTCCATTCACAGCATATGAACATTCCAGTGGTCCACATTTTTTGCCAACATTTGGTATTTTCAGCCTTACTATTGCAGGTAATCTAGGGAATAGGAAGTATCTCATTGCTGTTTTTGGGGGGCAGCTGCTGCTCTGGGTCTTTGCTGCTGAGCATGGGCTTTCTCTAGTCACGGCAAGCTGGGGCTGCTCCTCACTGTGGTATGTGGGCTTCTCATTGCTGTGGCTTCTCGTGTTGTGGAGCAGGGCTCTCAGCTGTGTGCTTCAGTAGTTGCCACGAGTGGGCTCAGGAGTTGCAGGTCACGGGCTCAGCTGCTCCATAGCTTGTGGGATCTTTCCAGACCAGGGATCAAACCGTGTCCCCTGCATTGGCGGGTGGACCCTTAACCACTGGAGCACCAGAGAAGCTCTCTCATTGTCTTCTAATTTGCATTTCCTTGCTGATTAATGGTATTTTGTATTTTTATGTTTATTAGCCATTTACAGAATATCTTCTATTGTGAAATATTTGTTTAGGTCTTTTAAATATTTGGGGGTAGGTGTCATTTACTGAGTTGTGGCAGTAATTTATTTCATATTCTTGATACAAGTTTTCTGTCAGATAAGTTTGGTGACTCCCCTCCAACTCTGTGTATGCGGTCCAAGTTCATTTCCTTAACTGCATCTTTTGATGGGCAGAAGTTTTAAATTTTGATTGTTTAATGTATCAATGTTTGTTTTAAAGTTTTTGCTTTCTGTGCCTTAAAAAATTGTGTATGATTTTCAGGTTGCAAAAAAATTCTATATTTTCTTCTAAAGGCTTTATAGTTTTTTGCTTGCTTTTTGTTTTTGGCCACGAGGGGCATGTAGGAACTTAGTTCCTCAAGTAGGGATTGAACCCAGGTCCTTGGCAGTCAAAGCCCAGAATCTTAACCACTAGACCAACAGGGAATTTCCTAAACAATTTACATTAATAGTTTCAATTTTTACATTTAGGTTTCTGAGCACCTTGAATTAATTTTTATGGATGGCATATGCAGGGATTGATATATATATATATATTTTTTTAGATAGCCAGTTTTTCCACTATCACTTCTTGAAATTTCTTTTTCTTTTTTTTCCATTAAATTGCTTTGGTGCCTTTAGCAAAAATCAGTTGACTGTATATATGTGTGTATATTTCTGGAATTCTATTTCTATTTCTCTATGTGTCTACCTTTATACTAACACCATGATATACTGATTATTGCCACTTTATAACTAAACCTTGATGAGAATAAATCCTTCAGCTTTGCTCTTTTTCAATACTATTTTGGCTATACTAGGTCCTTGGTATTTCCATATGTTTTAGAAGTAGCTGATATGTTCTTATTTACAAAACAAATAAGCTGGGATTATAATTGGCATTGCATTGCACCTATAGAATTATTTTCAAGAAGTGATATGTCAACAATATCGTGGCTTCCAATTCATGAAAGTTCTATATCTTCATGTAGTTAGAGCTTTAATTCCTTGAGCCGTATTTTGCACTTTTCAGTGTAGAGCTGTGCATGTTAAATTTAAGTATTTTATTGTTAATGCTATTAAAATATCACTGGTTTTAAAATCTCATATATATTTTGTTCATTGTTCAGTTGCTAAACTGTGTCCAACTCTTTGCAGTCCCATGGATTGCAGCACACCAGCTTCCCTGTCCTTCACTGTCTCCTACAGTTTGTCCACTGAGTCAGTGATACTATTCAACCATCTTATCCTCCGTCACCCCTTTCTCCTCTGCCTTCAATCTTTCCCAGCATCTGGGTCTTTTCCAGTGAGTTGGCTCTTCACTTCAAGTGGCCAAAGTACTGGAGCGTCACCTTCAGTCTTT